TGTCTTTAGAAAAATGTCTATTCAGGTCCACAGGAGTGGCCCAGAGAATGACTAGATGCCAGGGACCACTGGGGCGTGACCCATTTTTTAATTGGATTGTTTTTAAGTTTCAAGTGTTTTCTGTCTATTTGGGATAATGGTCTTTTATCAGATATCTTTTTGAAAATATTTTCTCCCAGTCCGTGGCTTGTGTCTTCATTCTTTTGACAGTATCTTTTGCAGAGCAGAATTTAATTCTAATGAAGTCCAGCTTATCGATTTTTCTTTCATGGATCATGCCTTCGGTGTTGTTTCTAACGAGTCATCACCAAACGCAGGTCTAGATTTTCTGTGTTATCTTCGAGGTGGTTTTATTGTTTAGGTCTGTGATCCATTTTGAGTTAATGTTTGCGAAGGATGTAAAGTCTGTGTCTAGATTTATGTTTTCGCATGTGGGTGTCCAGTTCCAGCACCATGTGTTGAAAAGACTATCTTTTTTCCATCGTGTTGCCTTTGCTCCTTTGTCAATGATTAGTTGACTATATTTATGTGGGTCTATTTTGGGGCTCTTTCTTCTGTTTCATTGATCTTTTTTTTTTCTCTTGCTCAAACCACACTATCTTTATTACTCTAGTGTTATAGTAAGTCTTGAAGTTGGGTAGTGTAAGTCCTCCAACTTTGTTCTTTTCCTTCAATACTGTATTGGTTATTCTGGCTCTTTTCCCTCTCCATATAAGCTTTAGAATCTGTTCATCAATATCTTAACTCGCTGACATTTTGATTGTGATTGTGTTGGATCTATAAACCAAGTTGGGAAGAACTGACATCTTGACAGTATTGTGTCTTATTTCTCCTTCGATTTCTCTCATCAGAGTTTTATAATTTTCTGCATATAGATCTTATATATTTTTGTTAGATTTATACTAGCTATTTATTTTTGGGAGGGGCTGCTTATATAAATAGTGTTGTGTTTTTAATTTCAAATTCCACTTGTTCGTTACTGGTATGTAGGAAAGCAATTGACTTTCGTATATTAGCCCTGTATCCTGCAACCTTGCTGTAGTCACTTACTAAGTTCCAGGAGGGTTTTTTTAAATTATTCTTTTGGGATTATCTACATAAACATCATGTTCTCTGTGAACAAAGACAGTTTTATTTCTTCCTTCTCAATCAGTATACCTTTTTTTGTTGTTGTTGCAGTAGCCAGGACTCCCAGTATGATTTTGAAAAGCAGTGGTGTGAGGGGATATCATTGCCTTGTTCCTGATCTTAGAAGGAAAGTTTTAGTTTCTCACCATTAAGTATGTTAGCTGTAGGTTTTTTGTAGATATTCTTTATTAAGTTTGGGAAGTTCTCTTCTATTCCTAGTTTACTCAGGGTATCCCAGTCTTTTAAATAGTTAGAGAACTTTTCGTTGTAGTAAAGAACTATATTTTATTTAATCATTCTTCTTTGATGAGCAACACTTGGTCTGTTTCCATTTCTTTTTGCTATTATAACCAGTATTGCCATGAACATCCTCATCCATTTCTTTTTGGGCACATGTACAAGTATTTTTCTGTAACAGGTAACTAAAAATGTAATTGTTGGGTTGAGAAATGTGCATATTTAAATTATTTTAATTTTTTAAATGTTGATACAATTACAAGCCTACAGGAAACTTGCAAGTACAATACAAGGGATGTTCCGTGCCCCCCCGCAAATCATTTGAGAGTGAGTTGCATACCTGATGCCCCATCACCACCAACCCCCCCGCCGCCATACAGTATACTTTAGAGTGCATTTCCTATAAAGAAGGACATCCTTTTATATATCCTCATTGTAACCATCTGAATTAGGAAATTCACATTGATACATTACTACCACCTAGTCCTCAGACACCATTCAAGTTTCACCAGTTGTCCCAATGTCTAATACAGGGAATTCCCATTTACTATTCACTTAGATTCCCTACTTTTACCACATTTGCTCTGCTGTGTCTATGTAGTTTGAATTTTTTTTTTCTGAATCATTTCAGAATCAGTCAGAAACGTGATGCCCATCACCTCTTGACACTTCAGTGTGCCTTTTCTGAAAACAAGGACACCCTCCTCCATGACCATAGTACATCCATCAAGATCAGAAAGTTGACAGTGATCCAGTATTACCATCTAGTCCACATACCTCATCCAAATTTCACTGATTGTCCCAATAATGGCCTTTATAGGTTCAAGATCCAATCCAGGATCATCTGTTGGATTTAGCTGTCACAGTTTTCCTGATCTCAGGGACTGCAGTCTTTTGGTGCTTGTTGTTCAGTGCTGAAAATTGTTGCCTCATGTTTTCTCCATTTTCTGGTTTATGATGTTGGTTAATCTGATACCAGTTACTCCATCATAGCAAGAAGCAAAAGTCTACTTTAGAATTTTAGAAGCTATTAAGTGCTATGACTTATTTTCTCGATGGATTATATGCTTTATTCTTATAAAACATTGCTCTTTTCCTATTTAGAGGTTTGAGTCTTGAATTTTATATTAATTTTACCACATCTGTTCCTTCCTGTTAGCATTTGCATTGTATATATTTGTCTATTCTCCTGTATCTTTTTTTTTGCCATTTTATTTTAGATTTATATTTTGTCAACAACACGTAGTTATCTTTTTATCCCATTTACCGTTTGATAGAACATTTACCCTATTTATACTCATTTTTTGTTATGATTATATTATGTTAAAGTTTGTTTTCCATTTAACATATTTCCTATTTAAGATTTATGCGTCTCGTTTTTTTCCTGTTTGTCTTTTTTGGATTGATTTTTTTAGTCGGTGGTGTTGACCTTTCATGGTTTTTTCTTGAATGAGTTAGAGGTTAATATCCTGTAGCTCTTCTTTTAGTGGTTACCCTTATTTATTTATTTTTTTTGCTATAGGAAATGGATTTTTAAAAATAAACTTTATTTTTAGAACAGTTTTAGATTCACAATGCAAAGCTAGTACAGTGAGTTCCCTTAAACGCTGCATCCAGTTCTCCCTATTATTATTCTATATTAGTATGGTACATTTGTCACAATTAACCAATATTGATACACTATTATAAACTAAACTGCGTACTCTATTCAGATTTCCTTAGTTTTCATCTAAAGTCCTTTTTCTGTTACAGGATCCAGTCCAGGGTACCACATAACTTTCCATCTCTATATCTCCTTAGGCTCTTCAGCCTATGCCAGTTTCTTAGACTTTTCCTTTTTCTATTAGGGTTGGCATTCAATACTTTATATTAGTTTCAGGTGTATAGCATAGTGGTTAGATAATTATATAATTTACAAAGTGATCCCCTCAATTAGTTTAGTACCCACCTGGCACCATACATAGTTATTACCATATTATCAACTGTATTCCCTATGCTATACTTCACATCCCCATGACCATTTTGTAACCACCAATTTGTATTTCTCTTTTTGATGACCTTGATAGTTTTGAGGAATACTGGTCAGGTATTTTGTAGGATGCCCCTTGGTTGGAATTTGTCTGCTGTTTTTCTCATGATTATGCTGGGGTTATGGGTTTTTGAGAGGAAGATCACACACATATAGCACCCTTTTTATCGCATCATACCAAGGGTATATACTAACAATATTACTTATCACTATTGATATTATGATTGCCCAGTCGATTTAGTGTTTGTCAGGTCTATCCACTGTAAAGTTACTTTCTGCACCTTCTTCACCTTCTCATACTGTAATCTTTGGAAGGAAGTCAGAACTTACGGAGGTAGGAAGTTATGCTTCACCTCCTTGAGGGAGAATTATCTACATAAATGAATTTGAATTCTGCTCTCTTTCTGTATTTGGTCAGTCATGGATATTTATTTTATACTTAGGGTTATTATCCAGTACTACTTTATTGCCTAAATTATTCCATCTCTCGCCATTGAGAACTCTTTCAGTTAGTGCTCTGCCCCTGTGGCATATACCCATCAACATCAATATTTTTAGAAGTACTTCCTGGCATTATAAAATGCTTCAAGCTCATATATTTCCTGTGCTCAATCCTAGAATCAGCCATTTCTCCAAGGAGCTCTGGTCCCTTTTATTGGAGAATAGTATTTAGAAACCAAGATCTGGGCGCTTGGTGTGCTCCTCGCTACTGGGGTGTTATTGCTTCCAGACCTCTCAGCTGACAGAGCTAGGGAATATATGTCTGCATAGTAACCCAAATATTTCTATATGTAACCATCTCTGTGTATATATATATGTGTATATATATGCATGTATATTTTAAGCTAAACATGATTCATACTGAGGTCTCTAACTCTAATCGATCATTACATGGATCATTCTAGCCTTATCTGTAACCTCGCTCTCCAACAGTGAGAAACCTGGCTTCTGCAATCCACCATCTACTTATTTGTTCAGTTCCAGTGCACATGCATAGTTGTTTGCTTGGGACTTGATGATGTGTATACCCCTGTGGAAAAGTGCATGCTCATCCAGAGGGAATGACAACTGACAAATTTCACAGCAGGCAGGGTTGGGCAGATGGGTCCACTTCCGAGGACAGATTGTTCTTGTGAAAAGATTTTCCCCAGACCTTTTCAGTTATGTGTAATCGGTCAGAGCTACTAGTCTAGGTATGGGTGCTGGGGTTGGTGGGAGGTACCCAAAATTTACAAAATGCAGAGCAGCCTTTGTAAGACCTGGGATGGGTAAAAGAATTTAGCCCATTATCAGTGGAGCTTTGGGCTCTGATACTTCCTGTTGCAGACATCATACACACCATGGAGAAATACTTCTGTAAGATTGTGTTCCATACATTTGAGCCTTCAAACTTCTAGTGGACTGAAAAATGTGTGTTGATTTGTTGGGGATAAGTCACTTGCAGAAGGATAGCAACTCAGTATATCTTTGGATGATTTCAACTGATTTCCTTTTGTGGGGTTACCTTCATGACACTGTCTAAAGGGAAACGACCTTACGAGAAAGTATTTCAGTATTATTTCGTTTCATGCAAAGATAGTTAATTTTTATTTCTTTTAATTTTTAGGATCCGGAGACTTGAATGATTTCGATCTGAGGGATGCATTGAAAGAAACTGCCTCAGTAAAGCGTGAGTAGTAGATTAAATAAACTATTAAAAGTAAACAATAGTGATTAACGTGCACCAGCCGCTTAGAATACATACTCAAAGAAAACAACAGACGGCCTGTATTTCACTTGATCAGATAAAATATGGTTATCATAAATTGCATTATTTAAAAGAAAATCTGAATATTTAAAATCCATTGCTTCCTTTGTGGAGAATACCAAACAGTGTGTTATAACCGATATAGCATTTTCTCCGGTGCAACTCATAGCCCACCCCGGTGTAACATGTCAGTAGTGGCCTCCGAGAACTGTCTTCCCTAGCTCAGAAAACGGTACTTTGAAGTGAATAAGGAATTTGTTTCTCTTTTCAGATTTTTTTATGATGCTTTTCTTAAAATGGTGTCTACATATAATCTCTCAAATAAGCTTTGTCATCAGTTTCTCTTTAAGTCTTTTGGAAATTTTTAAATCATTTTTTTCAAAAAAATACATGGATGCTTAGAAAGTAAAGATTTCCTTTACTTTCTAAAGCTGAGATTTCCCTTGACCTTTCCCAATCCTACTAACACCCACTCCCATCCCAAGAAGGAACTGCCGATTAGCTTTCTATGCTGTTACGTACATCTATACACATAGATATTTTGATGTCTGTTTTTGTTTGTTTGTTCGTTTGTTTGTTTGTTTTACATAGGGTGTAGGGCTTTTTTCATTTAGTTATATGCATGTTAATTTACAACTTGTTTTTTTTTCTCAGTTTAATATGTATCAAATACCTGAGTGACTGTATCTATCTGTGTTAGTTTCCTAGTAACAAAGTGCCACAGACTGGGTGACTTACAACCTCAGAAATTCATTCTCTCTCAGTTCTGGAGGCAAGAAGTCCAAGATCAAGGTATTGGCAGGGCCATGCTCCCTCTGAAGGCTCGAGGGGAGAGTCTTTCCTCTTCTATCTCCTGGTGGTGGCAGCAGTCCTTGTCACCTTTCGGCTTGCCTCTGCAGCACTCCGGTCTCTGCTTCCATCTTCACATGGCCTACTCGTGTGTGTTTGCGCGCATGCGTGTGTGTGTGTGTGTGTGTGTGTGTGTCTGTCCGTCTTCTGTCTCTTATAAGGACACTTTCCGTTAGATTTAGAACTCACCTGGATAATCTTGAATGATCTCATCTCAGGATCCTTAATTATATCTGCAAAGACCCTTTCCCAAATAAGGTCACATTCATGGGTTCTGGGGGTCAGGACTTGGCTGTATATTTTGGAGGCTACCATTCAACCTACTGCATATCCATATACTATATCACAGGCACAAACCTGTGCTTCGTGGAGCTGACATTCCAGTGGTGTGGCTTTGGCCATGGCCAATGGTGCCGTTTCCTTACTGGCAGACATGTGGTTTGTTTTTGTTTTGCACAATTACAAGTTGGGCTTCAGTGAACAATTCTTGTCCATATCTTTTGCGCCCAAGTATAATGGAACTAGGAGGCCAAAGGGTATATGTATTATATATTTTAATAGATTCTGCGAAGTTGTTTCCAAAATAAATGTATCATTATATGCTCCTACCGATACTGTTATAAGAGTATATTTTATCCCAGATTTTACAACCAGATTTTACCAATCAAAAACATTTTACTAATACGATGGACGGCATAGTTTATTACTTATTATACATTTCCCTGATTATACTAAGACGGAGTACCATTTCATATATTTGTCAGCTGTTTGCATTTTCCTCTTTGGTGAACTGTCTTTTCATATCCTTTCTGGGTTGCTTGGGTTTTTTTTTATGAGTTTGTGGGATCTTTTTGTATATTCTGGATTGAGAAAGGCAGGACCTCTGGAGCCAGACTTCCTGTGTCCGAACCTTGTCCTTACCACTTATTAACTGTCACCTTTGCTGAGTCACCTTACTTCTCTGCTCCTCAGTGGCCTCATCTTATACACGAAGTTAATAAGCCTTACCTCCTAGGGTGATTGTCAGGATTAAATGACCTGGCCCATGCAAAGTGCTTAGCACAGGACTTGGTAAAAGGCGGGTGCTTGGTTATTATTGTTATTCTTTGACTCGATTGGGAGGACTGGGTCTCCAGTGTAAGAGTCAAGCTGAGGAACACTCACCTACTTAAGTCGATCAACAGACTCAGTGCAATTCTTGTCAAAATCCCAGCTCGAATTTTTCAGAAATGGACAAGCTGATCCTAAAATTCATATAGAAATTCACAGGGCCCAGAATAACCAAAAAAATCTTGCAAAAGAAGAAGTTGGAGGACTCACACTTCTCAATCTCAGAACTTACTACAAATGTGCAATAATCACAGGTAGTATGGTGCTGGCATCAAGACAGGCATATAGAGAGAGCTCAGTGGGATAGAACTGAGAGTCTAGAAATAAACCCTGTTTATATCTATGGCTTTTGACAAAGGTGTCAAGACTATTCAATTGGGGAAAGAATAGTCTCTTCAATAAATGATGCTGGGGCAACTGAATAGCCATGTGCAAAAGAATGAAGTTGGACCCCTGCCTCACACCTTACACAAAAATTAATTCAAAATAGATCATGCACCTAAAACTATAAATCTCTTAGAAGTTCGTTTTATGTATGGTGTGCAAGAAGATCTTAGGGTGTTCTCAGGTGTTTGCTGAGCATGCACACTGTCCTATACACACAGGTGGCTTTTTAGATTGCTAGGGAAATAAATATACTTAATTTATAACCAGCTATGACTTTAATGAAATTGTTCATCTCCAAAAATAAACATGACCTAAAACAAAAAGAAACTCGTTAAGTAAAAACAGACCCTCAAGTAATAAATATGTTAATTTCCTGATGGAAAGACTTTTAAGTATTTACATCAACTTTTCAGTCCTGTGCATGACCCTCTGATCTCATCAGCACCCATAAGACAGTGTGTCTGGGACCCATAGGCCACTGGCACATGATGTCTTTGGTTGAATGACATCCTTCAAGACCATATCACTCTGCCATCCTTTTTTTTTTTTTTCGATTTTAGCTTAGGTTTCGTGCAACTGAAGTTTTGAAGAGATAGGCCTGTGCATCTCTCATTGGCTCAGTTATTTTTCCAGTAGAGAATGTTCTTCTTTGTATATTGTACATTTCTTGTTTAAAGAATCCCTGAACCACCTAGGTCAGGCTATTGTAAATGACCTTCATCCATTCAACAATGTTTATTGAGTGCTTGCTTGCTGCCAGGCACTATTCCAGGTGTAGGATATACCACGTGGACTAGGTCAGTGACTTGATGAAGTTATTCTCTCTGGAAGGACACAGTACATAAAATAATTTTAGATATTTTACAACAAATACAACAGGATGATGGGACAGGAAAGGGCCAAAGGATGTGGTATAAGGGGTGACTGTGTCAGATAAAGTGGTACAGGCCTCTCTGATGAAAGGTGACATGCAAGGAGCTCGGAAATGACCCTTTGAGGCCAAGGAGTTAGGTATAAGAGCACTGTGGCAGAAAAGAACTGGGTTGGCTCTAGGGCCTGGAAGATGGTCTGTGTGGCTAGAAGTGTGAAGAATGTTAGAGAAAAGACAGAGAAATTGGCAGGGGCTGGATCATATAGGGTCTCCTAATGCATGGTGACGCTGTATTCTAAGTGATAGAGGAAGCTCCTATTTTTTAAACAGCTTTATCAAGGTGTAATTCACATACCATACAATTTACCCATTTAAAGTATACAATTCAGTGGTTTTTAGCATATTCACAGGGTCGTGCAACCATCATCACAGTCAATTTTAGAACAACTGGTCAGGTTCTCAAAAAGAAACACTGCACCCTTTACTTATCACTCCCCAGTCCCCTGACTCTCCCTTTTCCCCAAAGCCACTGGCACCCACTGATCTCTTTTCTGTCTTTGTGGAGTTGCCTATTCTAGTCATTTTCTATCAATGGAGTCATGTAACATGTGGACTTTGTTTGGTTTCTTTGACTTAGCATAACATTTCCAAGGTTCATCCATGTTGTTTTCAAAATTTTGTTCCTCCTTTTCTTCCTTTACTTTCTCCTTCCT